CGAAGCGGCTCGTGCAATTTCAGCTTTTTGAAAAACTCACAAGTGCAAATTAACTCCAAATTGAACGAGAAAAACCGTATGATTGCCTATACAAATACAAGACAATGCAAGTGAACTGCCCCCTAATGACCTTTCAAGTCCGTTCATGGAATACCTTAAAGTGTTTGGTTTACAAAATCTTCGGTTTACTCCAGCATTTCGCTCTTGTTTCTTAAACAATTTGACTGGAACTTACAATTTGACAGAAACCGGATGGCAGACATTTCAGGGCAGTAGCTAGTAACAGGCAAATCGATTACTTACCTTGTTAAAAATTTGGAATTTATCTATTTCAACTCCCCGCAAGAGGCTATACATGCTTAAAATAACAACCTACATCAATATGAAAGAAGCGGATGTTTTTCCTGATATTGGTTGGCTCGATAATAATTTATTTTGTGGCCACGGTCGTGCTGATTCATGAAAAAAAAAACTTACCTCAGCTGAATTTGAGAAGTGGCGTGACTTTGCACTTACCAAGCCTCACTTATTTTTGCACACAATTATAAGTCAAAACAATTCGTTTTGTTCTTAAGATCTAATATTTCGTCTTGCATTAACAGGTTATAATTAGTGCTACTGAGACGGGCATTTTGCATTGGATTTCTTGGATGTAATCAACATGCCGATGTGAAAAAACCGTAGACGAAAAAAGAAAAAAAAAGCATTAACGAACCAAATTTTCAGAAGCGAACGATTTCTTTAAAAAAGTTACACTACAAAACATCAATTAGCACAATACAGTCATAAAATAAAAACGTTCTAAAAAGAAGGAAGAAAGTTATTTAGCAAAAATGAGTGGGCACGTACCTTATAATTATAGTTTTCTTACCCAGAGAACAACAAAAACGAATGAACACGATTAGTGCAAGTGATCCTTTTTCTGCGTCCTTCAACTCAAACAGGATGACGTCAATCAAATTACGCATGCGCACCTGTTATCCGTCAATTTGCCATCACGTTCTCTTCCAATGTGGAGTATACACTGTATGCTATCTCAATTAACAATGCAATCTCCCGCAATTTCAATATCTAACGTGTTGTAAATCACGTATCATACCTTTGCTTTATTTATTCAAGTTTTTCTTGAGTAAATATACAATCGCAGGCAACGTTTCGTTATAGCTTGTTGCGTTGTATTACGTAATTTTGCGATTTTGAAGCTACAAAATATTTCGCAACACTCAATGTCTTGAACGATATGTCACTGACTTATTTTTCACAATAACCTGCAGAAGACAAACAAAAGGCAAAAACTTCACCTTCATGTTCCCATAAATTATACTAAAAATGATCGTGTTAATGAAGTTTGTTTCTAGGAGTTTTTTCTAGGAGTTAGAGAGTGTGGCAAGAAAAACTTCAAAATCAGCAAGGATTATCTACAAATCAGGTTTTTACCTTAATAAGACCTCCTTATTTATTCTCTATTATAGTTTAGTTTATCCCTATTTACACTACTGTGCGAATATCTGGGGCTCGACCTATCAATCACATGTCAAACGTTTAATTACACTTCAGAAACGAGTTACTAGGATAATTTCGAGAAGTATTTTTAATGCACATACCAGGCTATTTTTATGAGGTTAAAAATCCTAAAATTTCAAATAGGTAAAGTTATGTACCATAGTTAATAGAGGGGAATGGTTTTGAAACCCGACAATTTTCTTTGTTGTATATTTTTGTTCTCTTTTATGGCCTTGACCGTGCACAAAACACAATAGTTGTTTACTCCGCACTGAGGAACTAACCAAGAGAAACGTTTTGGTTACGTAATTCGTGTATAGTGTATGAGCGCAAAGCAAAAGATTGTGCACCGTCGTAGACCTTCCAACATAAATCTTGGCATCTTTGTTTGCCCTTTTGATGTTTGCCGGGCTTCATAACCATTTCCCTCAAAAAACTATGTATGTACCTTGACAAAAATCGCCTTCTTCCTAAAAGTTTCAATTACATGTTTTTACCTAACTGTGACGTACATGAATACAATTATACTAGACCTAAGAATTCCTTCCGTTTGTCCTACAGCTGTAAGACAAACATAAGGAAATTGTCATTATGTTTTCAAGGCCCCAAAGTATGTAATTCTCTCAGCAGTGACAGTTAAAATGCCTCTAGTATTGCTGTGTTCACCTCTAAACTTGAGTCATCTTACTTGGTATAAGTATATTATACTGCTCTTAGTGCGCTTGTGTTTACTTTTTTTTCTCCTCCTTTGCTTTTGCGTATTTGCTTAACTACTTTTTATCCTAAATTATGATCATTTTGTGTGTTGGTGACAGTTGATTTATGTTTTTATTATTTTGCTAAATCTTGGGTATCTTTAAGGTAGTCCTTCACATAACCCTTGTTGGCTTCCCTGGGCTTCCTTGCCTTACACGTTAATATTTTGCAAATACATTTATCTGTGTCAAAAAAATAAATGGAAAAAATTTTCTTTTTTAAAACTAGGTTGGGCAAAAAGAAGGAAAACAATCAAAAGAATTTGATTCAACTATAGAATCATAAAAATAAACGATAATTCTTTACAAAAACCGATTGTGCATGTATAAATTCCTCGTTGTAATCTTTGGCGATTTTCTACCTTCACATAACAAACGATTATTACGTTTAATGATTGAGCTTACTGCGTCCACAACAAGAGCTGACCAGAGTTAAATTTCTCGCCCGGTTCGACCAGAAACTCTCATAATACACTCTCCAGGAATTGCGAATCTCGTGCTCTGTATCGAATGTTAATCTTATCAAATATCTTTGAGAATTGTCGAGTTGTTTTCGTAAAAAGAAAAAGCGTTGCATGATTGTCGTTTGTATTTTGCTGTTGATTTAACTTAGTTGACATAAAATCTGTTGTACATATATTTTCTCTTTTCTTATTTGATTAAGAAAATCCCCTTCCACCTCAATATTTTAAGAAAAAATCCCTCTACTTGACTTATGTTTACCTGGAAATATTCTAATATTGAAAACTTTATAATTGTGACCATTCATTCATGAATCTCGGAGAATATTCCCTGAGTCATAAATGACACAACTACACACATAACTTGTTCTATGCTCTTTTATGCTTTAAAGTAGCCTCAAGTTCGTATTTTAAATTTTAGCTTCGATTTTTTTGATTTGGTATTACTCTAGCCCCGGCTCGATAAAGAGCCTCGTAAGCTGATGGAAGCACTACTAATTGAAATATTGGTCATAAACTTTGACCTTGGAAGATGGTAAAAGAAATCGCGCATATTGGCATCAACTATGTCAAAAAAAATTGAATGGAGAAAAATTACCATTTTTTAAAAGCTAGTTTCTTGGACTATTGTTAGCAAGGCAAAAGGAAGAAAAACAATCAGAACATTTTATGTCAACGTACTATACAATCATAACAAAACGATATATCTAAAAAAGATATTGCGCGTTTATAAAATTCTTCTTTGTATTCTTTGGCAATTTTCTACCTTCAGAAAGCAAAGGACTATTAAGTTCAATTTAATTTCAATGACTGAGCTTATTGGGTCCACAACAAGAGCATGCAAAAGTTTAATTTCTCGTCCGCTTCCACCAGAAACTCTCATACGCTCTCCAGGAATTGCGAAACTTGTTAAATCTCGTGTTTTATCATCGAATGTTATTCTTCTCAAATATATTTGAAAATTGTCGAGTTGTTTTCGTACAAAGAAAAAGCGCTATATGATTGTCGTTTGTATTTTGCTGTTGATTCAACTTAGTTGACATAAAATCTGTTGTACATATATTTTCTCTTTTCTTATTTGATTAAGAAAATCCCCTTCCACCTCAATATTTTAAGAAAAAATCCCTCTACTTGACTTATGTTTACCTGGAAATATTCTAAGATTGAAAACTTTATAATTGTGACCATTCATTCATGAATCTCGGAGAATATTCCCTGAGTCATAAATGACACAACTACACACATAACTTGTTCTATGCTCTTTTATGCTTTAAAGTAGCCTCAAGTTCGTATTTTAAATTTTAGCTTCGATTTTTTTGATTTGGTATTACTCTAGCCCCGGCTCGATAAAGAGCCTCGTAAGCTGATGGAAGCACTACTAATTGAAATATTGGTCATAAACTTTGACCTTGGAAGATGGTAAAAGAAATCGCGCATATTGGCATCAACTATGTCAAAAAAAATTGAATGGAGAAAAATTACCATTTTTTAAAAGCTAGTTTCTTGGACTATTGTTAGCAAGGCAAAAGGAAGAAAAACAATCAGAACATTTTATGTCAACGTACTATACAATCATAACAAAACGATATATCTAAAAAAGATATTGCGCGTTTATAAAATTCTTCTTTGTATTCTTTGGCAATTTTCTACCTTCAGAAAGCAAAGGACTATTAAGTTCAATTTAATTTCAATGACTGAGCTTATTGGGTCCACAACAAGAGCATGCAAAAGTTTAATTTCTCGTCCGCTTCCACCAGAAACTCTCATACGCTCTCCAGGAATTGCGAAACTTGTTAAATCTCGTGTTTTATCATCGAATGTTATTCTTCTCAAATATATTTGAAAATTGTCGAGTTGTTTTCGTACAAAGAAAAAGCGCTATATGATTGTCGTTTGTATTTTGCTGTTGATTCAACTTAGTTGACATAAAATCTTTTGTACATATATTTTCTCTTTTCTTATTTGTTTAAGAAAATCCCCTTCCACCTCAATCTTGTAAGAAACATCCCTTTACTTGACTCATTTTTACCTGGAAAAATTCTATGATTGAAAACGTAATAATTGTCTCCATACATTAATGAATCTCGGAGAAGTCCCCGTGACACAGATGACACAAACACACGCAACTTGTTTCATGCTCTTTTATTCCATGCTTTAATTAAAATAAGCTCAAGTTCGTATTTTAAATTTCAGCTTCGATCTTTTTTATTTAATATCACTCTGGCCCTGGCTCTATAAAGCCTTGTAAGCTAATTGAAGCTCTATTAATTGAAATATTGGTCATAAAATATATTGGTCATAAATTTGACCTTGAAAGATGGTAAATAAAATCGCGCACGTTCGCATCAACTATGTTAAAAATATGAATGGAGAAAAATTTCCATTCTTTTAGACTATTTTTTTGGAATATTGTCAGGCAAAAAAAGGAACAAAATTAAGAGTGTGAATCAACGTCCCATACAATCATAACAAAACGACATTTCTAACAAAAAAAAGATTGTGCATTTGTATAAATTCCTCTTTGTTATCTCTGGCGATTTTCTACCCTCAGATAGCAAACGGTTATTTCAAATTCAATTTAATTTTAATGATTGGGCTTACTGCGTCCACAGCAAGAGCTATTCACCTAATCATAACATTTGGTTGATTATGAATTTCACGGTGGAAAGATTGCTCGAGGGTTAAGAACAAAAACTGTTAAGAACAAACGATATGATATCATTAAGAAATTAACAACTTCCGAACTTCGGCCGGACACTTGATAATATTGAAGGGCAAAACCAAAAGTTCGTATTGTAATAAATGTACAGATTATATTAATTCTAGTTTCTCTCGAATCAAGTGGTCTGTCCATAACTGCTAGAAGTGTCCGTACTTCAACAGTAGTAACTTGATTTAAAGTCCATGTATTTCTTTATACTTTAATTAACGTTGAACAGTAAACGCGAGTTGCTTTCAAACATATTGTAAAGAAGAAAACGAAGCTTAATTGTGTTCTTTTAAGCTTATCAGTAATGTGCAATCGTTTAGCTTGAATGTTATGCCTAAGTCTAAGCAAAAATAGCGATAAAACAAAGCGCTTTTATCTTACTAATCATAACTTTTGGTTAAATATGAATTTTCACGTTGGATATATTGCTCGAGGGTATCAATGACAGTTGAGAGCAAACGATAAGATACCATTAAGAAAGTCAATAAACTCAGTCAAACCTCGTTAATACGAACTTCGGCCGGACACTGGATCATATATGCAGGGGCACAGCGATGCAAGAGTTCGTATTCTCGGATAAATGTAGGGGCTATATTGATCCTCTAGTACAGTTTCTCTGGGATCAAGTGATTTGTCCATGATATATAGGTGTTCGTATTTTAACAGTTGGACATGTAACTTGATTTAAAGTTCACATGTCTTTTTACGCGTACTTTAATTAACGTCGTAGGTAACTGAAAAAAACGAGTTTTGTCTTAGGGTTAAGGTTAGGATTGGGGTTAGGGTTAGGGTTAGGGTTAGATAAATTGGCCTGCTCTCAGCCAATCACAATGAAGTAACTTTTTCAGTTATATAATAATAAGTGGAACTCGAGTTAATAACTATAATGAAAAAGTCTAGTGAACGTGTAACAACTTGGCAGGCAAAATTTTCTGCTTAAATATATATTTGACATATTAAGTGTGGTATGCCTATTCCAAGAAAATAGTTGGAAAAAAAATAAACATTTTCTCCATTCATTTGATGCAAACACGCGAGATTTCTTTTACCATCTTCCAAGGTCAAATTTTCCTAACCCTGAATACTCATATTTGTAAAGGAAGTTTTAGCTGAACAAAAGCAGATTATATCAACCAACAAAAACACTTAGCACCCACGTTAATAAAATTTATTTTAATTTCGTTTTCTGTTCAGTTTACCTAGGCCTCTGGTCGTAAACTAATCATAATCCCAAATCAGTGAAGAATTTGACTGTCTTTCCCGACACAAAGAAATTTAGCCAGAATTGACAATAAAAATCATGCATTGCAGCGATTGTTTTTGTATAGAAGCGTCATTATCCTGTTATCCTTTCATGTCATTCTATTCTAACCAACCAATGCTGTGACCAAGAATTATGACTATAGAAGACATGTCCATGAAAAAGTATGACTGAGGTAATGTCCATGGTTTACTTCTCTTCCTTGGTATTAATTTGATATTAGTGGCGGATCTAGGGGAAGCCCCCCTGGCGTGACTTCGCACTGACTTCAGAAGACTTTTAAAAAGACTTTTAGAGACATCAAAAAGCCCCTTTTGGTGAAAAATGAAAGAGATCTCCGCAGTTTTTTTCCTTCACTTTGCCCGGTTGACTCCTGTTTTTTCTGTTACTTCCAAAATATTCAGCAGCAGTGCTTTGTTAAAAAATTTTGCTCATGTAATATGATCGATGGAAAACTGAAAGTTTGTTTATAAATTTACTCAATGATGACGTAGGCGCCGAGTGTTGCAACACTTTTCGGGTAGTCTCGTGCGGAACGGTTACGTTCGATTCACTCACGGTAAGGTCTTTGTCGTGAGGTCTAATATCTGCCTTGTGTTTTTCAGTCCTAAACAATAACAGTAATGAGCCTGTTTATACGAATATGATGTATTGAAATGGAGACCACTGAATTTATTCAACTTGGAGCACGCATTTAACCAGTGCTGCTTTAATTATTTTCCTTGTTTATTAAAGGTTTATGAAGTTTTGCCGACGAAGATCGCGATNGAGATCTAGACAACACAACTGAACTCAAGGCTGACTGTGTTCATTCAACATGCAAACACTATTCGTGACTGTTATCTTCGTGACCGTAAAAATCACACGTTTCCTCTATTCAGATGTTTTGGAAACCCGAGATTTTCCTTATTCGGGTGTCTCAGAAACCCGAGATTCTCCTTATTCGGGTGTTTCAGAAACCCGAGATTCTCCTTATTCGGGTGTTATAGAAACACGAGATTTTCCTTATTCGGGTGTTTCAGAAACCCGAGATTCTCCTTATTCGGGTGTTTCAGAAACCCGAGATTTTCCTTATTCGGGTTTTTCAGGCAGCTGAGTAGTTTCGCTATTTGGGAGTTTCAGACACGTGGTTCATTTCTGTACCCAAATAAACAAGTTCCCATGTGAGGTCTAGAGGAGAAATAGAGGACAACAAGTGAAGAAGAACTTGAGCGAACATCCCAGGGCACTTAATTCGCAAGGCAGGGAAGAAAAATAAATATATTCCGACGAGGAAAAAAGTTAATTGTCGATGTAAAGTAGTAAATGGGTAATCATACACCGAAAGACAGCTACATGTAAAACGCGGGCGTGACTTCACACTGACTTCAGAAGACTTTTAAAAAGACTTTTAGAGACATCAAAAAGCCCCTTTTGGGGAAAAATGAAAGAGATGTCCGCAGTTTTTTTCCTTCACTTTGCCCGGTTGGCTCCTGTTTTTTCTGTTACTTCCAAAATATTCAGCAGCAGTGCTTTTTTAAAAGATTTTGCTCAGGTAATATGATCGATGGAAAACTAAAAGTTTGTTTATAAATTTACTCAATGATGACGTAGGCGCCGAGTGTTGCAACACTTTTAGGATAGTCTCGTGCGGCACTGTTACGTTCGATTCACTCAGTATATTTGTGTGATTGGCGGTAAGGTCTTTGTCGTGAGGTCTAATATCTGCCTTGTGTTTTTCAGTCCTAAACAATGACAATAATGAGCCTGTTTATACGAATATGATGTATGAAATGGAGACCACTGAATTTATTGAAGTTGGAGCAGGCATTTTACCAGTGCTGCTTTAATTATTTTCCTTGTTTATTAAAGGTTTATGAAGTTTTGCCGACGAAGATCGCGATGCTTGCCTTCTTTGTTTTGTTTCTTGGAATCTGTGTTTTGGATAGCGAAGGTAAGAAAATTTTGCTGATTTTGAAACACTTTACTTTCGATACTTCGTTGAGTTCTTCCTCGAGGAAATCTATGGTGTGCTGGATTTCCATTCACTTGCGGGACATCAGCATCAACAACATAACTTGTCTAAAACTGTTGCAATCGCGTGTTGTGTGAAATAATTTGGAAAAACTGTCTGAATAGCATTGCATTTTAACACTTTATTATATTGCATCTTCTTTAACACTTGCAGCTCGCGACTCAGCTAACACTTGGGGTGGATCAAGAGCATTTCTTGTAACGGATCTTCCTAATTCGACGATCAATGTTGATAAGCTGTACACATCTTTAGCAGACAGAGGTTTAGCCGATGTTTTCAGTAGATTAGTGATCGTTCAGCGAGGGCAGGATGGACGCTTTATCAAATCCCACGGCTCATTTAGGACATTGTCGAGAGTACAAGACAGGTAAGAACGGCGAAGAATGGTTTTGTTGAATTCTGTTGTGTTGTTGAGCAATGCAAGATTAAAACAGCGTGTAATTTCAATTGTCTCGGCTCGCGAGCTTTCATATAGCGATTTCACGCATTGATAGTTGAGATCATTCTAGCGGTAAAAATTGCTTGATATACGGAGCAAATATCTGAGGTGAGAACATCGGCTGTATATTATTTTTCCTCCAAGAAAATTTATTTACCCTTCCTTTATCACTCGTCTACATTTACAACCTTTGGAATTTTATAGTACGAAACTTCTACTAAGCGACGCTGCATAAAAATATCAGTTTTGCTCTTGTTTCCCACGCAACATCAATTAGTCGGTTACTCTTTGCCTTGAAATTATTTTCGTACGCGGAATTTGGCACTTGATCATGCTAGGTTAATTTTTACTGTTGACGTGAAATACCATGATGTGCACGCATGAAATTATATGGCGTAAAGGCGATGGATATTTCTGCGAGAAAACTGTGTCATCTGCCTACATAGTGAGGTATCATTTAAAATAGTAGCGATTTTGAGGTCGTAAATTATTTAAACTTATGCTTGGGACTCTATTTTGACGAATGAATCATTAGAGAAAGTGTTTCAGCTGTTATCTGCAGCATTGTCAACACACGGCGTGAGGGCATGATCACGCGCTCAGCTTGAACATATATTGGGCTTTCTGTCTTGTCTCTTGTTAAGATGCTGCTTAATAAATTTTTAAGCTAAAAGTGTTCTGCGTAACTTTATTTTCAGTCCATTTTCTTCGAAACAGTTTAGTGAGGAAAATTTGGCAATAATTTGCATTACCTTACACATTTACTTTGCTCCCAATTTTAAGGGGTCAAGAAAAAAAAAACATTCTGTAGTTTATCCAATGTTATAAACTCATTGATCTTTCCTATGCAGGAGGGTAGGGGTGGGGGTGGGGGTGGGGGTGGAGTAGGCTACCAAGCTGTCTGTATGTTCTCACTCCTTAGCTGAAAATACAGCCTTGCACACTTCATAAGCTGGTGATGACATTATATAAACAAAACTTATCCTAGGACTAAGACCAGAAATTATTCGCCAGAGAGTCCATTCTCGTCTGACAGAACATCTTAATTCTGATGTCATGAAACACAGTTAGGTCAGCTTCTAAAATAATTTACCACAGATTTTATGAAATTATTCTTCCTTCCTCAAAAATATTATGGTTGTCCAAGAATTATTAAATGAAAAATATTAGCTATTCAAACACTGGACAAAATTTGTTGAAACCTAAATATGTCTGTCCCAGCAGAGGCGGGGGGTGGGGGGTGTGTGGGGGGGGAGCTGGGACTCCCGTGTGAAAAGGTCGGGGATGCTCATTGTCTCACTTAGGGGTATAAACCTTGGAGTGTGGTCCTACTTAAGCTGTTTTAGTAGTATCTCTTGAGTCTTGGTAGTCTGCCCCTCTTCCTCAGTGGGATTGCTGTACGTAGATTCTTATGTCGTCATTGTTGATAGGTATTTTGCAAATTCAAATTAGTCTTGCATGCTCAGTCTCCAACCTGTATTATGTCACATATTTAGAAATAAGGAATGCAAATTATTTACAATAAAAATATTATTGCAGATTGTATTTTATCAATCAATGATGAATAAATTTAGGTATATAAAACAATGAATGTGTAAAACTCCCTTTCCCATCCCCTGAAGAGTCCTTCAACAAAAATAATGGAATATACCACTGACCTCACTGGAATGCGTGGCTCCAGAAAATCTGGGTCGAATCTAAAGGGGGGGGGGGTAATTGGGGGGGTTCAGTAGAACCCCTAAAATTAAAAATAAATGAGACATTACAACATGCTTATGTGGCCTCAGAATGCCAGGAATCCCTTTTCCAAGGATCTTAATTTTAAACAGTTTGAGGGGGAAGAAGTCCCCCTAACATCCTACAGAGGACTGCCCTCCACAGTCCATATCTTCAGCCCCCTTTTCTAAAATCCTGTATCCACCCAAGAAAATACCCATGTCCAGTGACCCTAAGGAGGGTTGGAGGGTTATGTGAAATTCCAAGAAGGAGAGGATTCTCAAAAGCCAAAATTGTTAAAGGAAAATTTGAACCAAAACTTGAATTTCCACAGGGTAGGAGGGGTTCAAATCAAAGAGCCCTCTGTTGGAGGGGTGTTAGTAAGAAAATGAGTTGTGTTATTAGATGAACAAGAGGGTCTTCAAACTTAACAGATCTTGTAATTGTTTATTCTCCTTTCTACTTTTTTCTTTCAACAGTTTTCATACTCATTGTTAATTTTTTTTTAACAGAACATTGTCCATTTCAAAAAAAGAAATGCTTCCATGGCTTTTAGAAGAGGAGGCAAATGTTATTATCTGTGTCGCCGACAGTAAAGCAGATGTTCCACAGATATTAATTTCTGCTCAAAGAAAAGGTAGTTTGATCCAATGAACATAGGCTGCTGATTGTTTCTGAGTTCTCATGTCCTATACATTGAGACTCATGCAAATGAACGTAGTCTTGAGCTCTTGTGCTAAAACAACACCAGTTGGCACCAAAGTATCTCGCTAGTTCATTTTGATGTAGAAAATAATTTGCCACAAAATTATAACACACCTTTATCTGCTTTGAACACTTCACTTTAAGTCACACTGCTGCAGTTAAATTCAAGGAAACAAGCAAGACAATTTTTCCAATTGTTCTCAGGGAACTGGCATTATACCCCTGCACCCTCCCTTGCTCTCACTTTTTACACATAAAGATGTTAAATGAAAACACTGACTTCTACTGTTTATTTATGGTTATTAACATGTAAAACGTTACTACTAAATATTAAAGACTTCATTGACTTGGGTTATTTCTTTTAAGGTATGCTCCCCTTGGACACCAAACTAATGATATGGGTGATTCAGGGTGATGTTGTGGCAGCTGATGGAATGGTAATGTTTAGCCGTTCTGCATGTTCAGTATAATGAAGTCTGTATCATAAAAAACAATTAGTGGGACATTTTGTTTTTCAACTACCCTTGGTAATTGGGAGGAATATATGTAGGAGTGGAGGGGGGAGGGGGATTGGTGGAGTGGGGCTCCAATCTCAGTGCAGGAACCAGTATTCAAATCAATCACAGTGGTGGATCTAGGGGAAGGGCCCAGGGGGGCCTGCCTCCCTATTTTGGGTTAAAAAAGAAAAAAAATCACAGAAGGAAGAAAAACCGGCAGGGCAAGCAAAAAAAAAAAAACGCCCTCCAAGAGCAAGGTCTGGATCCGTCCCTGTATTAAGGGCAGTTATGATGACTATAAACAATAAAAACGAAAAACAATGACTGAGGCAAGTGCCTTGGTTTGCTCCTTACAAGCTGATGGCCCTGCCACCGCCGAGTTTTTCTTGTCAGTAATTGATGAATCTTACAAGCTAATTCTATGGCAATCTGTCTCTAGGAAACGTTTATTTAATTTAACTCCCCTGTGTGACTTGATTTAAGCAAACGTGGCACGATTTGCTTATTTACACTATTTTGTAACTCTTTTCTTCACTTGGAATCTGATTTTCTAAGAGGTAACATTGCTAAAACCAAGCCACTGGCATGGATTCAAGACATTGACCATCGCAAAATATTGCTTGCATTTGTATATTAATTTACTTAAGAAAATTTTGAAGAGATAAAGCGAAAGTCTGACATATGTCTTACGACACCGTTTGATTTGATTCGCATCAAATCAAATTTCAAGAACAAAGATTTGTTGTCAGGCGAGGAATTACACTTTAGATTTTTCATACAAACGTTCACGCGAATTGCCCGGGTTTTAAAGACAAATATATGGGAAAATGAAAACCTTAATTGCGGCTTTATTTCCCTCAAATTTGAATAGTAAATTATTTTACCTGGTACCTTAAGTTTTCATAAGCATCTCCGAACTCGAATTTTCAGGGAGTTGTTAGTAATTAGGTTCTCCACTTTTCGCATACATTTAAATTGTAACTTTTGCCGTGTTTGCTCCCCCCGGAAATAAAATGGCGTCAGAAACCGTGAAAAATTCTATTGTGATCGTATGCAGTGTATACTGCACATTCGAAGGGAACGTGATGAGAAATTGAAGTCTTACAGGCGACTGAACATGCCCCAGCTAAAACTGGGGAATCCCCATTTTTCAAAACAGCGCGTGTTGCTAAAAGTATTTGAAGGCTAAAAAACACAATAGCCTCCGTTTGGCGCGAAAATATGCTCGGATGGACATTATGTGGCTCGAGGAAAACTGTTCGCTTCTCGGAACAGATAATGTTGGCTGACAAATATCCGAGCACATCTCCATGTCAAGTGGAGGCTATTGTTTATGTATTTCACCCAACTTCCCCGACATGCACTGCATTTGAAAGCAAGCCCAAACGACGCACGCCCCGCGCGCGAAAGTATCTTGCAGACACTGGCCGGGAACTGGTAACTTGTGTTGGTCATCTTTGCCTGTGAAATTCCTTCGAACAAAAAAGTAACACAAATATAACTGGACAAAGCACAAGATCTGGTAAGTATACTACCATGAATGAATTGTTCAGTTGGTACGTGTTTTCATAATGATTATTGCATTTTAACGGGAACATTGCTTTGCTTTAACACTGACATCGACAAAATAACAACGTATAACGTATAACGTATAACAAGGTATAACAACCATTTGGATCCTTATACGGTGTCCAGCTTTTGAGCATTTGTAACCCATTCATTACCATCTCTGTCTCCTTGAATTGACGTTTGGGTAAAGACAATTCTGACTTCACCTAGTCAGAAAAATATCTCGGCTGATGACTTAGTGTGGATTACACTTCGTGTAAGCCACACACAAAAAAAATGTGCCAGTTTTTCAACGACCGTGGCTACCTCCATTCTGCCGTGAATTGGGTCTAGAACGCAATGAACAAATCGATCAGCTTACAGCGCTTTCCAAATAACCATGCAACTAAGAAAAAAAAATTAACTAACTTTTAACTACTAATGTAACACTTGAAAGGGGCATAATATATCCCCGGGGGGGGGGGGNGGAGTTACTCCCTTATATGGGCTATAAACCCAAACTTGAAAGGGTGTGGTTTTTCATTTTTTCGGTCAGTTTTTTTGGGCCAGTTCAGTCAAATATGGTGTTGTTTTTCCACTCGTCTTAGTTTAGCATGATTCTAGAAGATGCCGTTATCCTGCCTAATAAAAGCATGTAAATTTAACACTGGACTCCAACTGGGAATTGCGAACTCCAACTTATAAGGCAGCTCTGAACCTAGAAACAGGCCATTAATGCCACACATCTCCAACCGATTTTCCTGGGAGTACCCCCNAGAATCCCGGTAATCAGTTGAGCCAAAAGTTCCGTTTTAAATCTGACGAACAACCTGGTTATTCCAGCAATCTTTCATTGCTTGTGCGTGCAATGCAACACTTGTCTTTTTTTCACCACACTGTCAACGTTTCAGGTTCGAAAAGCTCAGTTTTCTTCATTGCATGAAAAGTGTTACTGTTAAAAACATAAATGGGTCAAGCGCTATAAACGACAAAAGATTTAAACCATTCAGCTACTGAACAAACCTTTAATGTCAAAACTTCACACCAGGTTTATTATTTTAGCGATTTAGAAACACACTAGCCATTGCCATGAGCATAAAATAGACTATAGGAAAATAGTTACTTTGGAAAGTCTGTCAACTTCCGTGTAAGCTTTGCGGACCTATCTTTTCGTCTTGGAAAAAGGACAAAATGTTTGATGACAATACTGTTTTTCCTACCACACAATTTTTGCTTATTAAACTATCAGAGCTTATTTTAACACACTTGGTCACTGACTGCAACCATAATCAGTACATGTAATATTTCGTTGTGTGAATAGAAAACAATAATATCAATTATATTTTGTCACTAACAAATAATTATGACTGCTGTCAACAGTCAGTGCAAATACATAGAATTATCATTATTATTAGTGTTACCTTAATTTTAACCATTTATTCCTAATTTCTCATTGCCAAGACAAATGTGCAGTTAATAAATTACTTTATTTTACAGTTACAGACTCATTGCCTTACAGGCATACGTTAACACATTACAATGGCTAACAAAATTGACATTAAAATGCAAATTGACAGAAATGTGGTTTTCAAATGACTGTGCTGAAATAACTCCAAGAAAGCTGAAAATAATTCTGCTGCTCTCTGTAGTTGTTTATTAAAAAACAATCTTTGGAATTTGACTAAGGACAAATTAAACTAATGTTGTATTTATTTGCCATTGCTATAGCCTGTCACAACAGCCCCAAAAAGCACAACAAGCTAACAAGAATTTGTGGCAAAAACCATGTAACATGGGCAGTTACATCAAAAGGTACATGCATACAGTGTGCATGCACGTAATTCAAGTGAACACATTGTTGGCAACTTAGTTAAAACAGTAGTTTTGCTTCTAACTGGTCAGAACATTGCACCCGAGTTTTCTGAATCAAATTCAGGGTTGATAAAACATAAACCGAAGAAAATCAAACAGAATTATTTCCGACAGTCAAATGAAAAATAACACTACTATTAAAATGTCATAGTAATTCAGCCTTTTAGTGTCTTCCCTTCCAGTTTATCATTGGCAAAATCATTCACAAACTTCTCCACAGCCTCTCTGGTCAATTCAGTCTCCTCTGAGACGTAATGCATTTGATTTGGGACATCAAGTATCGCCAGTAGATTATCGTCCTCAGGAAACTGGCCAAACTCACGCAAGCTGTCAGAGACTTCATCTCCTTTGGTGTAGAAGAACTGCAAAGGTGGATCTGCCATTTTGAAGTAGTGTTCAGCCACAGGGTGGATGATTTGCTGAGCATCACTGATAGATGCATCATCACCATCTAGGAGAAGAAAACAGCGAAATTGGCATACACACACAGCAAAGGCAACAGACAGCAAAAGCAGGATGGCGCCGAAGAAGAAACCCTTGCAAAGGTGATGAAGGAGTAGTCGAGAGTTCATGTACAAGTTGAGTGGAAAGAAATCAGAATGTACATGTATATTCAGGGCAGGTTAAATTTGAATCAAGGCTAATTCAGAACTGGTTTATGGAGACTGCAAAAGCCATCACTTTGTTAAATCTAAATTGTACTATTTGAACAAGGATGGACCAGAGTTCATGAAGACCAACCAAATATCACCTTTACACAGCACTGTCAATAACTTGTGAATTTTCTGTTAAAGGCAGCAATATCACTGAATGAACTATAAATCATGATCAGGCAAGGTTCAAATTCATTTTTACTAACCTGTGAAATAAATCAGGCATGCCTCATCATTCACAGTGCTAACTGTCATTTCATCCAGACAATTTAAAGGCTTGGGTTTCCATGGAAAATTCTGCCAAAAAGTGATACGATGAATTCAGCTCAACGCAATTGTCATCTTTCACTGATGTAAACAAAACTGCTTCCCTTTAAAGGCAAAGAGTCTGGCCTGTCTGTCTGTTGGCCTGTCTGTCTGTTGGCCTGTCTGTCTGTTGGCCTGTCTGTCTGTCTGTCTGTCTGTCTGTCTGCCTGTCTCTCTGTACATCCATCCATCCACCTGCCCATTCATTCCCTTGTTCATTTGTTTGTCTGTCTGTTTGTTTGTTTGCTTTTTTGTTCATCAGGAACCATAGGAAATTTACTACGAATGTACATGTACCTGCTAACTTTTTCTGAGTTGACGTACATTAAGATTTTCAACACAAGGAAATTACAGAGCTTTTGTCACATTATCAAAACCCACTCTCTCCCTATCCCACTTAAAACCTTCCCTGAATTACATTCAAAAAACTTCATTTTACTTCAAATTGACTTACTTCTCCATCTGAGTCATTTGAGACAAGGCCTCGGCCATTTGAACTTAAGATTTTGTAGTTCTCATCCACAATGATCAAGGTAGGAATACCTGAAGAATAAATAAAAAGACAATAAAATAAACAATTTAGCAAATGTCATGGAGGTGCATGTACTTGTACATGTATCTAACAAGAGGAAAGTACTAACCTTACCATGTACATGTATGGTAAGTGTGTTGGAACCTGGCTATTTTGAATTCTCAGGGGAAACGGAAAACAGTCCGAAATAGTAGGAGTTAAAAATAGCTGATAGTAAATGACTGAAGGGCAAATACAAGAGAAATGGCTTTGAGTTTGAAATAACAGGGAATTTGAAATAAGTGAGTCCGAATTAACAGGGTCCAACTGTAAACCAGGAATGACATGTTGCTCTGCTTCACTACAGCAATGTCCAGCAGTATTATTCTGCTAATGCCGAGGAAGAAAATTGCTGTAGGTTGTGTGGTTCAGTTAAGGACATTACGCTTTGCAAAAAATCTCCTCAAGAAGGTGAATGAAGAATTGCTCGCTGTGGGTCAGGTTGTGTACTGAATATCTTTAATACCTAAGCCCACATCTACTGTGTACTAAGGCCTTGTGAAGGGCAATCAAATAATGCTAGGCCAAAGTCACTTGGGAAGGAGTGAAAGAATGAAAAGATTTATTGAAGTGTCACTGCAGGCAGCCTGACATCTGAAGAGTGCGAGAGATGATATCATGATAGAACAACTCGTCGCAGCCTCAATTTTGCCGTCACTACGGAACAAGATTTATCTTCGACTGAAAGGTCAGGTTTAAGTCAGATCCAACATTTTTGAAGGTTTTAATTTTTATTATGTTGTTAATGAATCAGTGTAAAATGGGGTTGATGGGCCTACATGACTCCTGCAGTTCGTGGCATTTGAGCATTTGCCGTTCTCTCAGACCTTTGCCATCTCTCAGATCTTTCTTCGCTTCAAGTGCGTTTCTGAGAGGCACTGCATACCGTGTTTTTAGGTTGTATGAGCCTTTGTTAAACCATGCCAGAGAAAACACAGAGACCAACAAAATCAGTAACAGAGGTTTCATTAACATTTTCAGCAGATGGGCAACTGTTTTTTACAGGCAGGCAAAACCTTCCTCAAGATGATCAAAGCAGGCAGGCAAACTCATCCTCACAGCTGCTAAATTTGCCTGGTTCCCCACCCTGGTTTTCCTGTATTCTGATTGGCTGAGTTTCCTATGGCATGGTATACATGTAAATAATTATAGAGGTTGTTCACCTTGGACACCAAAATGAGAGGACAGAGTAGTTTTCATCGTCGGATCTCCAAATGGTACAGCAAGCCATGGCATGTCTTTGAAGTATTCATTGAAGCTGTCATCTGTACGGTCTGAACTCACAAAAATGATTTCAAAAGGCTTGCCTTGGTCTTTTATTTTGCTGTAGGTCTCTATCAACTTTGGCGTAAAGCCTCTGCAAGGTGGGCACTGCAAATAAAATTAATAAAAATGCAAAGTCCCTCACACTATTGTCAAAACTACAAGAAAAAATATTAAGTGTTTGCATGAAAATTAACAGTTACATGCACAACTTGCTTTTGGACTACAGTTATGAATACTTGAGACTTACATGAAATTGCTATAATGGTAAAATAATGTGTCAAAGAAAATACTGGATTTTTGGTAGAAACTACATGTACATGTAGATTTATATAACCACTATTATGAATTCCCTGCCAGTTCCCAGAATTGAAAGAATTACGATTACAAGGACATAAAGCAGAAATTGAAGGGACATTGGTAGATATGTCATGTGATTTCATTTCATTATTTTTTTTATGTACCAGTAAATCTCCAAGTATCATAAACATGTAGTACAATTCCAGTGACAGATTTTTGCAAATCTCAAACAGAAATTTTAAGGAAACATTTTGCACTGCATTTCTCGAATGTATATTATAGCAGCGAACACCATGAACAGTGGGCATCTCATGCAAGTGGATTTCAGACTCATGGCCAAGATGTGTATAGTACATGTATACAATGTACAGTACTGTTCTACTCTGTACTAAACAAAGCTTGACATTACATGCATACCCAGTGAGCAGAAAAGTAAAATCCGATGACCTTTCCAGCCAGATCTTCAAAAGATTTTTCTTCTTGTTTATTGTTCACCAGTTTTACACCTTTCATTACGTCAGCGATTCCTTTGGGTCGCCATGGAAAGTCTTCACCAGCTGAGTCCTCCAAGAGTTTACTACGGGCATCCTTTGTTATTACTTTGCCATCCTTTCCATCTAAAAGGACCAGTGTTGGAATTCCTGAAACCTTGAACTTCTTTGAAAGTTTGTTCTGGAGAAACATTTAATCAGAGAATTGTAAAAATATTGCAATGTTAAATGTACATACATCAAGACTACACGTACATGTATTTCATTCATAATTTTTGTTGCAACATCTCAAAAGTAAAATGTACTAAAATGCATGATGTCCATCTGATGGACGCCGTGTGAAAGTTTTCCCAGAGTTTTAATCTGGAACACTGATCAGTGACGTAAAGCAACACAAAATCATTGCCATGTGCCACTTGTTCTTGACAATAGTACCAAGAGTCGCTTAATGTTCTGACAGGATTCTCATGTGAAGATTCCTGGGCGGTGGCATTAAACAAGTCAATGCAACTGAACAATTAGCCATGAGCACAGTTTAAAATAGGAGGCTACACTGTATGAATCTAGGAGCAGGCATAGGGAGTGGTGAGAGTGCTCGCCTCCCACCAATGTGCCCTGGATTCAAATCCTGGGTTCAGTGTAATAAATAGGGGGAGTTTGTTGTTGGTTCATGGCTTGCCCTGAGGGTTTTTTTTGCCAGATCTCATTGGACAAGATTGCTCAAAATACGTATATCATAATTTGTCAGTGCCAAGCAGATCAATTATTTGCCCAAGCCAAAGGTCAAGGCAAATTGTTGATCTGTGAGACTTTAACAAATCACAATATTTTGCAATAATTGTCTTATCATTCAATCACAAAGTTTGTTTTTGACTCACTCTCTAACAGCTCAGGTAAGCAATCTGCCATTTTTTTACTCGAGAGATAATCACATATTATTTGTAGCAAAAAAAGTAATACCATCTAAATTTTAGACTGTATTTTGCATGAGCAGACCATTACTAAACATTTTAGAGTGAATTTATCCAATAAAAGCATTGGAAGTTAATTATTGAAGTTTCAATCATCTGGAGCTGCAAAATTTACTCTTGCAGGTGAACAAGAGAGTTTCTGTTGTGGATGACCTATTTTTGATTGAAAGTATGGCATTTTGTTAACACTCATCAGTGACTGATGATAATCTCATCCGCCTCATTTAAATGTAAGTTCTGCTTTATATCCTTTGCCAAAGATATGTAGGTTTTTCTTGTATCATTTCAGTCTTATGATCAAGTTAGAAAATTTTGTGATTTTCCTTTCCTATTTTGACAGGCACAACATTGATGCAAGACTCGGTGTGGAAATCAAAATAAGATATGTTCTACTTTCTAAAGAGCTACTTCATCTTTTCAACCCATTCATAGTGATTTGCCATAACACAGTTTATTCTTTTCAAGACTGAGAAAATGAAAACAGACAACTACAACAGACACAAAGGGAGTTATGATACAACATGAAAATTAATGTTTTGATTCTTAAGACTGTTCCATATGAAGTCTTTCATTGCATTTCTCACATTACTTGCAGGTTGAAAGTCTCCACCATCATTGCTTGAACATTAGACTTGCCCGTCATAATAGCATGAGTGAAAAAAAACTATTAAAGTGAAAATAATCTTCAGGCTTCGAGGTAGCATTACTTGTATTCTATCCTTTCATTTTGGCTTTCCTATTAAAACGGAAAATAATGTCTTACATGTATAATTTATAATTCGGCTGAATAGTTCTATGGTTCTTGTCTTCGCAGATGTTTTGATGTGCATTTAAACACATCTGCCAAAGCATTTTCCTGCATAATTGGACCCCCAAAATACAGTAAATTTCCTGCTGATTTTTACATTAGTGTGGATGCATTTTCTCAAAAAATCTAGGAACACTTCAAGAATGCTTGTGGTGCACTTGAACTCAAGACAGTCATTTGCAGGTCACATGGTGGGTTCTCAGCCAATGAAAAGGAAGAAAAAATCACCAAATAATAAGAGAATTCTGTGTTTATTTTCCACAAACTGCATTGAAAATATTAATAAATTAATTATTAACAATGTAACAGTTTGATAAACTAAAATCTTATTACAAGGAGGGAAGCAAATTCAGTTCCCAAACCAATATATACAGAACAATCACGTAGAAAATTTGGCCATCACTCCATTTTCATTGACAACCAATCAGTCCAGTTCTTTGGAATGATTGATGATCCAAGGTCGCACAGTTTATGGTGCACAAAAAATGTATCGCTTCCTTTGATGCCACACGATCCGTGTAGTCACTGGTCTATATCCAGAAAAGGAACGCACAGTAATTCATTGATTTACCTGACTATTTTGCAATAGAGAAATTTAAAAAACACAAAACGTCTCAGTCGGTAGATGTTAGGAAGATATCAATACCTGTAGGTTGTGTGAATTTATCAAGATATTGTTATGGTTACCACAGCAGGGCTCGTTCTTAATCAATATCGAAGGAGTTAATAAACAGCTGAATCATTTTCGTTAGACGTTGCGGAAAAAGTGACCTCTGTATGTATTCCGCTGAGGAGGATTACAAAATCCCTCCAAACTAGACTGAGAGACTGACCTTCCGAGGAAATAAGTTAATTAAAAAGTTCAAACAGCAGTTTTACAAATTTTCCTACCTCAGCGATACATAAAAATTAAGTGTCTTACTTAGCTAAGCTCATATCCTTTTTTAAACAAAAAATTCCGTGTGGAATTTAGCTGTGATCGCCTGGGCGTTACATTTCACAATAGACTTGTTTTCCACAGCAACGAAAATCGCAGCAAAATAATACTATCGCTCGCTGCTGTCTACAGCTAAACACGATTAATACAAACAGCAATCTGAAGCATTACCAACACCTTTTTGAACTAATTAGTATGCGTCAGCGAAGGTTAAAAAAGCGAAATGTAAACGAATTAATAAGCTTGTTGATGCACAACTGAAATTATTAATTCAAGCTCGATGGCCAACCTCACCTTTCGATTACGATCGGCGAACGGCAAAGCTAACCATGGCATTTCTTTGTGGTACTTCTGGAATTCGTCCTCTGACTTGTCCGAACTCACGAAAACTATTTCGAAGTTTTTCTCGGTGTGAAGCTTCTTGTAGAATTCTGCCAATTTGGGTGTAAATCCACGGCATGGCGGACACCAGTGCGCCGAGAAATAGATGCCGACCGTCTTGCCTTCGCCACAGATAGCCTCGATCCCTTTGTCCGTCCCAACGAGAGTCTCACCTAAAAGAGCCTTGAAAGTATCAGCCATGACGATATTAAGCGTAGCTTATTCCGCGCTACAAGATTTGATCAACAACAACCCTGAAAGCTTGATAATTTGATGCAGCTCTATTCAACGTGCAGAGAAAATGCGACAGCTGAGTCAGAACCCCTGCCTTGTCTGATGGGTAATATGGCAAATGACGTCACGCTACGGTATACAAATAAAAACTGACGTCATATTTCCCAGCACCTGTTCATCATTTCTTTTTCGCTTTCGATTGAAAACCAAAAAATATTATCTGGGTGAGTTCTATTTAAAGCTGTGAACAAATCTTGAAGTTTAGTAACGATCAGTCAAGCCGAAACTTTCAAAACGCTGCATCACCAAAGGAAAGCAGTTTGTTTGGATACATGTTCATTTGCATAGTGACATAATTGGTTTTCACTGTCATGCCGCGCGCGTTAGACAAAAACCGTAACCATTTAGTAAATAAAGTCACGGATCTGTTATATGATAGATGATTAATATATTTAACAAACTTGCTAGGACTTAGGTTTGTACGGTTTTCATGCTTACGTTTTCACCCAAATTCCAATATGGCGGCCGACAATTGACAGAAACATCTGTCATTGAGTTTTGCTACTAACGTTCCGACGCATAAAATTAATGCTTAATCTAATGCAAGGACTGTTCAGTTAAAAGACGTAAAAGATAAGTCATCTTTTGAACTATGCTTTCGCCTTCTTGATAATGTAGATGGGACCCTGTGCGCGCTCTGATTGCTCAAAAATCCATGTTTTATCAGAGTATAAAACAGAAAAAGCGTGTTGTATTGTATTTCGACACATTACCTCCATATCATAAAGCAAATGAAGAAGCCAGTCGTGTTTTATCATAGTGTAATACATGGCTTAAGCTTCTTTATTAATTCTCGGGTCGTCACTTCCAAAAAACCCGATAAATGCTCTAAAAAGACTATTAGGAAATTTTTTTTCTCTAAAAATCCCTAAATAACCCAAGAATTAATTTGGCATTTTGACAACCAAAAAAGAAAGGCCAAGATAATTAAGGAAACCGAAAATTCGAGGTTATTCACTTTCGATACAAAATGGAAAATAAAATGAAGATGAACGTATCTTGTTCGACTTCCCGTTTTGACAGATCACTTTCAAAGAAAAGGGAAACAAACACAAACTTTTGTTTTCTGATTTTTGTGGTGTGCTCGTCGTCCGTGACGCGAAACGAAAGAGATTTATGGCTTGACTGCCGGCTGGACTGAAACTCTCAAAGATTGAAAGGATAATAAACTTTCTTATTTTGGTGCCAAAGATGCGCCAAATACGCGATCCATAGCATTAGTTATCTTTTTACTTAACATATTTCCTCATTTAGGTGGAATTAGGCGCAAGGAAAATGGTTGTGACGGCTGCAAAACACCAAAATGGACACCACATTAATACCACTCCCCGATCAGAAGTACGCTAACTTCTGTTTATGAAAAATACTGTTTTCAGGGGCGCGGGCGTAGCGTACATTTTTCATGGAGCAGTCACCGAAGAAAAAGTAAAATTCGGAGGTTGGGGGGCATGCCGTCCCCCGGAATTCTTATTTTAGGGTCTCGAAAATGCCATTTCCCACGTTTTCCAGAGAACAGTTTCATAGCCCATACTGATCTGTCCGTTTTAAAGTGGTATCTTTTACAGGGCGAATAAAGCTCAAATCGCACTTTCCGACATGCACCTCCAAGCCTAAATCCCCTAAAGCTTTCTCAACATGTGAAAAGCAGAAAATTGTATTGTGATTAAACTCCAATATGGAGGCGGATTTCTGTATGTTTGCATTGATTTCCCACAGCGTTGCGCAGCGCGCAAATGCCAAAATTATTTTTTTCACAAAATGATCATTATGATAAGAATACGGTTTTAGAGCTATTGGCGTACTGAAAAGATCTAGACAATTGCGAATTTCGCTGGTACAGTATAAATCCCTTTTTGGCTAGGCGTCGCTCTCGGCATCCGCGTCGTCGTTGCTTAGCTTCCATTATCACGAGGGGTTTTTCCGGAATGCGCTTCTTGTACCTTTTTATGCTTATAAATTCTTCACGCTTCTACAAGTGCGCTTTTGCTGTATTTAAATTGTTTATTCCAAAGGTTTTACTCACAAACGCGCCGATACGGGGCTCTCTTCCTTTTTGAAAAAACATCACAATTACCACGTGCAAAGCAGGAATTTTCAAACAAAAATGTAACGTATTTGCTAGCAGTTATTGGTTCCATCTTTTAATCCATATTCATGAGAAATGTAGAATTTGCTTCATTTCAAACAGTTCGTTGGTGTGTGAAGACGTGGCATCGTTTCTCCTGAACCAACGAAGGAACCTCAACAGCAGTGAAGGCCAATTGAAACCCAAAATCTTTGGGAACATGAAATGAATGGTGAGTACACAAATTAGCAAGGACGAAGCCATGTCAGAGTCGTAATAGCACGCGTTTTGCCTGTTTCGCTTTCGGCGAATTGTTCTCATAATCCTTCGACAAACAATTTCGCTCGTCGTTCGCTTGCTTGCATGGAAACTTAAGTGCCCCGTAATTTAGTTACGTTGGGAAGTTCATGTTCTTTTTAGTGAAGCAAGAACAGACGACGGCCACGCCCTTAATTCTTGCTGTGGTCGCCCCAATTCAAATGTTTTCAAAGCTAAGCCATTCGTTCTTACAAATCTGAAAAACGGTAAAATAACCTGTCACGTATTTATAAAATTTGCAAGTAGCAGAGGCAGGGTAGCAGTTTTTCGTTGCGTTCCCCACATAACCGTTGACCAAAACGTTTTTAAACGCGCGACTTTCAGGCTTTTTCGGTTGCAATGCTTCCCTCTTGAAAAATCCTTGAATTCTTATCTCCTGAATGTCCTGTAAGCGTAAATTATTGCAAGGACATCGACAATATTCAGTTGCTACGTACCGTTGAACGTTTTGTTCAATTGTCTTTGCTTGTTTTCTTACAGAGTGGGAAAGAGGACTTGGAAGGTCGACAAGATGAAGGAACAAAGGGAAAGTTTAAAATTCACAAGCACTGGAGGAGGCATAGTAAAGATAAGATTTAATTCACAATATTATATTCCGATTTAAAAGGTGGCTTTATTTAATGCGACTAGTTTCCAAAACTTGCGCGGATTATCCAAGTTTCTATCTAGAAACGTTGATTTGAGTATCTCTAGTGATCGCAATTGTCAGTTTAGTGAGAAGTGTCAAATCAAACCCTGCAAAAATTTAGCAAAATTGGCAAAAACGAGATGTGAATATAGTGGCCACCATTTTGATCGGAGACAATGGAACATTGAGCGATTTTATTTATCATTTTCGTAACATGACTTACGTTTATATACTTGGACAAAATTATTTTCGCCTGGTCAAAGAGACAAGATGACAACGATGATGAAACTTCATTTAAATGAGCGTGAAAAACTGATAGCTTGGAATAACAATGTGGGACACCAATTAATACTGGTTATTGAAAAGTGGAAAAAGTTGACAGTAATTTAAAACATTCTGCTACAAAGAAATTCAACAATTTGAAACGAGACAAATTCAAAGTAAAGAAATGGTCAGAGAAGAGGAATTTAAGAGTATTTTTTTTTAAGATTTGAGCGCAAAAGTTACTTTTTCACGTTTTAAATTAATAGTTAACTTAATTTTATTTTGAGGTTCATCCATTATCGGAATGTGAATGTCAAAAGTTAATCGCTCAATGTTACATTATCTTTATAAACTGTACGCGTTTGAAAGGTGTTCGTTGCAACATTCGAAAATTAGTACTTCTTAACCATGTATTTTGGAGAAATTATTTTGAATCCGTGAATCAAAGTTAATTGAATATATAGTGAGAACGCTGTTTTGAAACGCAAACAAAGATTATCTCGTAATTAGGATCTAAGAGCGAGTTACTGTCTGATATCTTTCTCACGGGTTTTAAAATCAATTTGTTTTGAACATCAAATTTTTCTTATGTTTCTTTTTCTCAATTTGTGTTGCGTTGAACCTTTCAAATGCGTACGTTTAAGATATATTTCTGGTAAAGAAAAGATAATGTCTGGTTCCACGAAGCCTTTTTTTCTCAAATTTGGCAGTTCAAGTTGGAAGCGATGATTAAAATTTTAATTTATTTGACATAAATTATTACCTGACATTTTACATATGTTACAAATTAATTCTATTATATTGCTTTCAAATTCCAAAATTATTTTAATGAAGATACTACAGATTGAATAACGGCAAAATTTTCAAGACTTTCAAACAAAGAAATGGAGTTAATAAAACTTCGTCACGTGTTTTCTGTACAAGGACGGCGTCTTTCTTGATTCAGTTATCGATAGCTTTGCTTAGAATGTTCTTGCAGTGAGAATTTTTTGCAATAATTTAAAACACAGCAGTGGAGAGGTTCAGATAGCGAGATTTACTGAATATATAGCATTTTTCAAAGTGAACTGTCTGCTATGAACTCAAAACACCACGAGTGGAGAAAATACTTTTTTACTATGATATTTCCAAGTGAATTTAGTTTACAGATCAGGTGGCTGAAAATGTTCAACTTTCTGAAAAAGATTAAAAGCATAGGCTGTTTACATTTCACATGTGCAACGAATTTATGTTATTGCTCTAGGACGTCGAAGAATTTGAATTGTGAGAACACACTGACCAAATTCTTGCACAATTGTCACTGATTATTTTCTTTATTTATCGGTCAAACAATTGTTCACTGAAATAAGTCGACGTTTTCGTAATTGTAATTGCAATTTCTACGCGATTAAAGTAATGCAAGTAAGTTTTCTGCGGTAATCTCGATACAAAGCGAGAGGAAATTTTCGCGTTTTGTTTTTGATTCCTTCAGTAGCTGAACAATTTTCACGTTTATGAAAATATTGACTTGCTTGTACATTTACATTTCAAGTGTAAATTTTATAAAATGTTTAGTCGCAAAATTAATGCTGCCATGTTTCAAGAAAACAATGTAATTTATAACTGTGATGTTTGAACAAATTTTCAGAATTTCAAATGAACACGAGGGATTTGCTTTTTACATAAATTTTGCCAGTAATTTTCAACATAACGTAAATGAAATATTCGCAAACATTTTATAACCATTTATTTCACTTCAAAATGTGAAAAGATCGTAAGTTGATTGATTCTTCTGGCAAAAAGATGTGATTACATTTGCTCGTGTTTCCTCTCTAAAATGTCAACATTAACTTCAATATAATTGTACTTTCTGATTGCTTTATTAAAAAAAGACTTGAAACTTTCAGTTGCACTGTTTGTGGTAATCTCAAAACAGACTATATTTTATTTGCCTGCCGTGAAAATTTTGCACTCCTATTTCTCATTTTGTTCAAGACAACACTTGTAAGAAATAACCCACCCTTAGAACTAGACATTATCTTAATCATAAGAGTCAGTAACATACTTGGCTTTAAACAGTTTTGAAACATGAAATCGAGAAAAATTTGAAATGATTGCATGGCCAAAATAGTGCAAAAACACTTGAATAGTTTCGTATCGAGTTAAAGATTAACAAATAAACTATTCATTTTCGCGGCGAATTTTTCAAGAGAAAACAATTCACAGTTTAAAGCCTGGTATGTTACTTGTGTTTGCTTTAATACAGCATCTCGCATTCGAAACTGGTTTAAAACTTTTTCGTGGGACGACATTTCGGAGTTTGTTGTTTAAAAATTTTACTTGAAGAATTGGCAAACTTGAAAGTACGTCCAGTTTCTGTGCTAGATGCTGTTCATTTTGTTTAGCGGGGAATATTTTAAAAGAGGCCCTCTTTGTTTGATTGCAAAAATTGTTGTCAGGGGAAACGCTGTGCAAATTTTTTTAAATTTTCCCGCCAAAAGTCTTAGTATATAGAGGGCACATTTTTTTGTTGTCACCTTTTAATTAAATTTTACTTAACTAATTAAGTAAATAAAGAAGAATTTAATTGATTTTAAGTACTTGTTGATTTAAGAACAAAGAAGAAAATAAAGAGAAATGAAATTGCAAACTGACACTGTTTTGTTGTATGTACTTTATTCAGACTTAGTATGATTATAGATAAAATAAAGAATGGAAATAAAATGAAACTGTTGTTTTGATTTACTTTAATTAATTAGTGCGAATATTATTTAAGATAAGTAAATAAATCACAACAACATTGCATGTATAAAAAATAAAGGTAATTTTATATCAAAGATATCTAAAAATGAAAAAAAAACGGCGCATGCGTATTTTGAGCACCCGTATTTTTTTCTAAGTTTTTTGGCGGGAAAATTAAAAATTTTTGAACAGCGGTTACCATGGCAATAATTTCAGCCAAACATTTNAAAAAAAAAAAACAGCTCCCCACCCCCCGCCCCCGCTTTAGCTCAAGGTCTGGATCCGCCACTGAATCATATGTTGACCATGCCTGAAGAAATAACGCTTAAGCCAAAGTTTTCCTGTTAACCATCTGAGAAATTACTTTTGGAGAAAAAAGGCCACTGAAAGATTCAATTTGAAATGGCTAATTTAATTGACATTTATGTTTTGTGTGGCCGTCATAATTTTGCCCTAACGCACTTTGTAAATGAGATGTGTATTTTGCTGATCTTCAAGACGAAATTTCGTCTGTTTCAAGAGGCAAAACGGAGTTCTGGATTCCGAATAAAAAAGAATTGTTAGTCTATAGGGACGCGCATATAAGTGGCAATTTGGGAGCACAGCACATCGTGGAAAACGTTGCGATATTTGTCAACCCCATTACGGAATTTTTTTCCATTGATTTGTTCGGAAGTAATTGTGTTTTTGTAGGGTAAGTAAACTCATCTTACGAATGATTTATTTTCTTTCTATTCTAGAAAATGATCTCATTGATATCACCTGGAGACTTTGATCCTCGGTCAAGTAGTCTTGATGACGAGGATCGTTTCGCTTCAAGGAAAGTGCGTTTAATTTCTGCAAGGAATCTGGAGAGTGCAGTGATCGAGCTGTTCCAGAGAGAGAAGGGTAACGTCCACCACAGAGAGAGGAGAAATGTTGGCTCATCCGTGTCGCGCTCCATGACTACTAGGTACGTTTCGAGCTCCATGTCAACCAAGGTATCAATTCCAAGTTCAAGTTCAGCTGTTGGCCAATCCGCTTCGAGTCCCTTGACGACCGAGGTGCCAATTCCCAGTTCAAGTCCTGCTATTGTCCAATCCGTGTCCAGCTCTATGGCCCCTAGGGCATCAATTCCAAGCTCAAGTTCTGCTTTTGTCCAATCCCTGTCAAGCACCATGACTACCAAGATATCAGTTCCCAGTTCACGTCCTGCATTTGGCCAATCTGTATCGATTTCCATGACTACTAGGGTATCAACTCCAAGTTCAAGTCCTGTTGTTGGCCAGTCTGTATTGAGCTCCATGACTATTAACGTACCAGTTCCCAGTTCAAGTCCTGCAGTTGGCCAGTCCGTGTCCAGTTCCATCACTACCAAGGTATCAATTCCAAGTTCAAGTTCAGCTGTTAGCCAATCCGTGTCGAGTTCCATGACGACCAAGGTGCCAATTCCAAGTTCAAGTCCTGCTATTAGCCAATCCGTGTCGAGTTCCATGACGATCAAGGTGCCAAGTCCTAGTTCAAGTTTAGCTGTTAGCCANATGATTGCATGGCCAAAATAGTGCAAAAACACTTGAATAGTTTCGTATCGAGTTAAAGATTAACAAATAAACTATTCATTTTCGCGGCGAATTTTTCAAGAGAAAACAATTCACAGTTTAAAGCCTGGTATGTTACTTGTGTTTGCTTTAATACAGCATCTCGCATTCGAAACTGGTTTAAAACTTTTTCGTGGGACGACATTTCGGAGTTTGTTGTTTAAAAATTTTACTTGAAGAATTGGCAAACTTGAAAGTACGTCCAGTTTCTGTGCTAGATGCTGTTCATTTTGTTTAGCGGGGAATATTTTAAAAGAGGCCCTCTTTGTTTGATTGCAAAAATTGTTGTCAGGGGAAACGCTGTGCAAATTTTTTTAAATTTTCCCGCCAAAAGTCTTAGTATATAGAGGGCACATTTTTTTGTTGTCACCTTTTAATTAAATTTTACTTAACTAATTAAGAAAATAAAGAAGAATTTAATTGATTTTAAGTACTTGTTGATTTAAGAACAAAGAAGAAAATAAAGAGAAATGAAATTGCAAACTGACACTGTTTTGTTGTATGTACTTTATTCAGACTTAGTATGATTATAGATAAAATAAAGAATGGAAATAAAATGAAACTGTTGTTTTGATTTACTTTAATTAATTAGTGCGAATATTATTTAAGATAAGTAAATAAATCACAACAACATTGCATGTATAAAAAATAAAGGTAATTTTATATCAAAGATATCTAAAAATGAAAAAAAAACGGCGCATGCGTATTTTGAGCACCCGTATTTTTTTCTAAGTTTTTTGGCGGGAAAATTAAAAATTTTTGAACAGCGGTTACCATGGCAATAATTTCAGCCAAACATTTGCATAACCCTCATGGCAGAACCAACAAATACATCAAAGTTAAACAATCTTTAATTCTGGAAATATTCACAGCAAAACTTATTTACAGTAAAAGTTGATAAAAGGAAATTTGAAAAACTGGCTGTCCACAAAAAAACTAAGAAAGCTCCAGTTCAGATTAAACTTTGTTTTTACAAAACAAATACTTCCGCAAAAACTAATGAGCGAACGAGGTGGAACTTAAGTTTACGAAAATCAAAATTTTCAAGAAAAATTAACAAGAAACCGTTTCTGCGTGTGAGAAAATTAATATTATCCTGGCCAAACGAAGTAGCAAGACGAAAATGATTAAATCTGTCGACGATTTGGTCTACAAACTGTACAGGCTTGATAAGCAATAAATCATTACACGCTAAATCATTTATTTTGACGTATTCAAGACAATTGGTTTCAAATTTTGCGCCAAATTAAATGCAACATAATATGAAAACGGCAAATCGATGAATAGTAAATCATAATTTGATCTCTCAGAGACAATTGGTTTGAAAATTTGTGGCCATACCAAACGAAACTTGTAACTGACGAAAAAACATATGCTTCTAACTGGTTGCTTTCGTTTGTTCTGCAATACAACTAAAGTTCCACCTCACTATTACAACAATACTGAATAAATTCTACAGAAAAAGCGATAATCAGGGGCACCCAAACGTTAAATACAACTGAGTTTTAACTCAAAAGCGAGCGAGCGAGCGAGCGATCAACAACTGCTAAGAAACACGCGATGAAGCTAGAAAATTGATTTTAGTTCCAGATCTGTTTAACAATTCAACTGAAACAGCACCGTTTTGATTTTGGCAAAATATGTGAATTATCGGCGAGTGAAATACTTTCTAAAACTGTCTGCTGTTTCAATGTGAAGCTGAGTAATCCAAACCAAAATTCTATACCTGTATTGGCTTATTCAAACAACAGCACCGACGTGATTTTGGAAAAGAGCAAAGCAATTATCCACGAATGGCATTATATTCTCTTAAATTGTCGGCCGTTTCAATATATAGCTTACTTAAGAATCCAAAACAACATATCAGCATTTCAAAAACGATAAACGAGACAAAATGATAATGGCAAAGCTTTTTATTTTCAAGTTCCAAGTTTAAAGTTTTAAAGCTGCTTTCGTCGGGTGCCCCTCTAAGTTTCGTTTCAAATTCTGTTCAGTGATTTTCTTCGCCCAAATAACCGATATTAAACCATTAAATTTAGTGGGGTAATATAGCACTGAAACTAGTGAACGTTCGATATGAGCGTAAAGCCAACATTTGTTTCAATGTAAATTTTAAACATCGAAAAGGCGCGAATATTGAAAAACAGCTACCATTGCTATCGAAAGTATTTTATTTAAACGTTATAGTGTCGGCTTATCTGTAATTGTCCTCTTCCGTCTTCCGCGCTTTATGATCCATTGATTTATTCTCCTTGTTTGTGTACTTGCACACATGGCGTTTGATTCTCTCTGAAGAAAAATAAACAAATGAAAACGTTAGACACGATTAACTGACATGACAGATTGTCAACTAAAAATCTCCTAAAGTCAAAGAATGATAGCTGGGAAGGACTTAACTTTTAAACGCAGTACGAAAAGTCTTGCAAGCGGTAAAGAAACATTTTACAAATCCTGAAAGGGCACATTAGCTTGGCGAATTATCTAATTCATGGAGCTGGTCACTATATTTACATGAATTCATGTCAGTGACAACTTGAATTCTAGTGAAAAGTGCCTGCTTTCATCGGCAAGTGTGACGTAAACCTGAAAATTTGACGCTCAGTCTTCATGCAAAAAGAGCAAAAATCTCCCTATAAAAAAACTTGATTTTCCAAGCTATATTCAACTCCAAAGCATAAGACAGAAATGGCTTCAGAAGCTACGAAAATGATACTCAGAGCGAAGCAACTCTCAACTCTGGCGAGTTCACACGGTCGACGACAACATTCTTAAATTGAATTTAGTACACAATGTTCAGGTACTCACCATTTAGCAGCCAAAGCTTGGTCAGCAAAAGATCATTTCTCCTTTCGTTGTGGAAGTTTTCAACCCTCGGTTCTGTGTTCTTCACAGTCAAATTCGTCTTTAACAAGAACACGGCCATGTCTTCACACACGCCGGCCAACACACGAGGACAGCGAAGCTTGTTACTTCTCATGAATATGGATACAATCTTCACGGACTAATACGTCACAAATTCTTGGGAGCAAAAATGTCTTGCATATTAAGGTTTATTCATGATAACTTCGTGTTTGACACGAGGGACACAATAAAAAGCTTCCAATCAAAAACAGGTACACAACCTTTACTGTACTTGTTTAAAACGCCTTACATGAAGAAGTAAATTTTAAAATTTTGTTGCAAGATGTTAAGAACTTGCATAATATGGGAAGAAAAAATAACCCACATTGTTTTAGACAATGGATTTTTTTCCCGATTTTTTTTCGAGACTTATCACTGTGACAACCTTTAATTTTCTCTATGAATTTATTTTGATCAACAGTTTATGGAAACGAAAAATGAATCAACTGCAAGCAAGAGAGGATAAAAGGTAGTGAAGAGTCAATGACCCGGCCATATGGGTAAAATAGAACAGATATAAATCTGAAAGCAAACAGTTTTAGAAATGCTTTCTTTTTTTCTTGGTAAATGCAAGGGCATGATGGTCCGTGATATATTCTGCCGACAAACTGGTTCTTTGTGTACCCGAGTCCTCTTTTTCGCACTCCCAAACGAAAATAACTGGAAGCTAAAGGATAAATTAAAGTTTCCTCACAATCTCAGGTTCACTGCGATTTTCGAAAACTAAAGCTCGATCTTTTGGTTTTAAATTCCGCCAGCCAACCCGATTCCCAAAAATTTGACAGTACTACTTGCTTTAGTGCTTACTTACGTTGCTCCTTAACAGCCCCACTAGGGAGGGGACAGGTTTGTTTTAATAAATAGTGCATACAAAGTTAGTAATCAAATGAAGTAATCCTATTTTTATTGGTTGATAGTCAGCTCGGAGTATAATTGTTGATTTTGTTCGACGGTACTTCTGAGACAAGGACACTAGAAGTGCGTGCGACTTAGAAATTAGAATGATAATTAAAAACGAATTCTACTACAACATGGTCGAGAATATTACAAGAAAATAAGCTACATTAGGACTCCGTCCACACTAACGCGAGGAAAAACACACAGCAATATACACAACCAACCAACGCACGTATGTAGGGGTCTTTGGCGGGAAAAAGGAGAGACCCTGGAAACTCACAGGGGAGGAGTAGATAACGGGAGATTCCAAGTAAAGCGAGAAACGCAAACGCGCCGCAATTAATGCACTGTATGAATCACGGTTTCCTTCACGAGTGTGTCACACTTCGCTGTTTACCTCTGAAATCTCGTATACAATGTAATAGGTTTTCGATCTGTTTGATCATCCGAGATGATCAAACAGATCAAAAACGTTAAGACTTATAATTTTAACAGCTTTTTACCTTGACGTTTTATATTTACTTTTACCGGCGAAACGTATATAATGTAATAGGATTATCTAACTAGCCCAGAGAAAAGGTTTTCTTTTTAAATATAGCCGTTGTATAAACTTGTCCTGTTTTTCTGTCGTTTGTTTCTTTTCACAGCGATGCAGAGCACTCTAGAAAAGCTCTACTACAGTGTACATTTGCTTTCCACCAACGACAAATCCACTCTATATCAAAGCCCGATCACGGGCGAAATTGCCCCTGCAACGTTTCCAACGTTTGTTCAAAGCCGCGTGTACCTCAGTAGTCCAAGATGAAATCTTGTATAAATGCGGTCCAGACCTTTCCGATTTCGCTTGTGTCCTCACTGCCTATTAACTCGAAATATTTACCCGCAGGGTGCAATATTGAAATTATCCAGTGCAAATTACCAGTCAGTACAGACTAAGAGCTTCCGATAGAAAATTGTTGGGTCAAAGTTATTCGCCCTTGCCAGGCTTATGCGACTNACATTTTACATATGTTACAAATTAATTCTATTATATTGCTTTCAAATTCCAAAATTATTTTAATGAAGATACTACAGATTGAATAACGGCAAAATTTTCAAGACTTTCAAACAAAGAAATGGAGTTAATAAAACTTCGTCACGT